CTACGCCTAACTGGTGATGAATTTTGAAAATAGAACTTGCAATTTCATTCAATTGAGATAACATTAATAGTACCTTCTGATGTTGGCGGTTTGATTCATCACAGATCCAACTCATTTCCAACTCGAAGTCCTTGTCCTTTGCCTCATCATGTACTCCATAAATACTGCTCGTCAAGAGAGTAACACAAAGTTTAGATTCTAATCAAGCAAATGTCCCAACAAATTCAAAGCCCAACTACTCAGAAGTTACTCACATCTTAGCTACTTCAATAACACCTTGCCGACATGTCAATTCAGAGAGTTTCAACTTCTCAATTTCCCTGTCATTGTATTGCTTGTAACATCAGGAATACTACTTAAATTTTCACAGATATGAGATAACATACAATGTGCTGTTGTGATGTTAGATCGATGTACAGATTCAAAGGTGGTATGCAATTATAAATAAAGGTGAAATTGCAGTTCCCCTTCTTCAACAAAAGTGCTTTAACTATAAACACTTAAAAGTAAAAAGTACTTCATGATAAATACTTATTTTGTGCATTTGAATTTTTCTAAAAAACACTTTTTTAATAGGAACACAAGAATATTAAAAACACTAGTAAATTAATTCCAAACACGATTATGAGTGGAGTGTGCTTTGGACATGACTTCCAAACATAGTCTATCTGGTTAAGATACCCCACGGCCTTCTTCTTGGACATCGATTAGTTATATGATGCATAAGAAATAAAAAATGCTTCACCAATGCTGAGACAAAGATGCAAATATTAAATTAAGAGTTAAGTTCATAGAACAAAATCACAGTGCTTAAGAGATTTTCTATTGCATATTGACTAGTATCTCGACTATTTCCCTCAATCAGTAAACTCATGGTAAGAAACGGTAAATCAATTACTACAATTTCTTGCATTACTGTGGTCAGAAAGGACGTGTACAACAAGATGATCATTCTGGAAGTTCAATATTGGTTACAATATCACTTGACTTAAGAATATCTGCCATAAATCAGTCAATAATTCGCAATGTAGCAAGAACAAAATCCTTTATATACAAATCTCTTTTCCAAAGATCATTATAATAATTATTATTATTTTATAAGAAACAACTTTCCTAAGATGATGATCAGCCACGTATCAATCATAAAAATCTAGACATGGATCTCCCACATAAACATCTTTAGGTAACTATACGCTGATTATGCCACCTCTCTGAAGTCTTTATTATAGGCTACTGCCTACGTGATGATTTATACTGATAGTAGTAGTATGCATCCATGTTTTTGAAAACTCATTCTCATCAAATTCAATTAAAGTAGATTCAATTAGAAAGCAACAACGGAGTGGTCTCTTGGCAATCACCCACAAGAAGTATCACAACAAGTAAATCTTTTATCTTACGTTTTTGCAGCTTGCCTACCCTTCCCAATTGCAGCACCATAGTACCTCTAGAAAAATACCAAAAAAAAAAGAAGAAAAATGTTAGTTCATAGAGCAGCCATAAGATGTACATAAGTAGTTTGCAAGCGTTAAAAACAAAACAGCATTAAATTTAAACTGTGTATCACAAATCTACAACATGTCAATATATGATAAACTCACATAGGAAACACCGGATGGTTCAACCATGTACAATTGTGGTCCATCTCTGTCATAGCCTCCAAGAATTACACCACATCCAAAAGGTCTGCAACATTAATTTCAATTCGATATAAGGAGAAAGAAAGAAGCAATTTCAAATTTCTATGGGTATTACTGAAATCATGACAAACCTGAGCCACCAGTAAAGTGTACAGAGATGCACATAACTGGCAACACGATCAGCTAATTCCTTAACAGGAATTGGTTCCCCATAAACACTGCATAAAGAGTCCATAATAAAACAAGATAAGCATTCAAAAGGATAATGCAAAATCAGCAATACATCTCGAATAACCTCAGATAAAGCATAAAATTAACTGATAACTTCTTCCTCATGATCACATGGCCTGCATGCCTTCACTTTTTACATACTTTTCACACCATTGTTTTCTCCTGTCAGTATAGTATATCATAGTATCTACATATGCGTATGAAGACCTAGAAGTTCATGAAGGCATGTCCTTTCTAAAGAACACAATTCATTCACATGTAACAGTTCAATGGTGGTATCATCATCACTTTGTTTTCCAAGAGATGGTTTACTATTAAAATCATACTGGTGTCTAACACATCATACTGATACTGCTCATTCGTTATTAAGCATCTATTTCAAAATGTTTACAAATCAGACCAAGGAATCAAATTAGAACATAAGAGACAATTGAATTACTCAAAGTATAGTCACCAAACATTTATCTGCAATATGTATTCCTACAATTAACCAATTTCACTACTAATAAACTGGGAGGTATGCATTAGGATTAGGGGACTGTCTAAAATAGAAGAGTCTCAAGGTGCAACCTTTTATAATTGGTTGCTTCGGACTTGGCTCGAGCAACTATTTGTCTTCCATCTGCTGCTAATCCTGCCACAGCCTGCATCGAATAGCAAAATACATCAATAAAAAAGACAGTAAATGTTACCAGTTCATTTTTTTGCTATATGTTCAACTACAAACACTTAAATGTGAGAAAATCCAAGCAAATTAACTTTTTTTATTCCATTATTCATATCCAAGTCTCTGCCCAGTCAAGGCACATTTCCTTAATCAGTTAGTCTACGACCATTACAGAACAAAAGCTTAAAACATCTAAACCCTTGTTACAGGATACTTGAGAATCCAAAGCAGTGATCGAGAAAATATAAGGGATAATAATACCATGCCAGAATGACGATGAACAGCGTGAATTCTTCTATTAGAACCAGGAAGCATCATCTTAGAGGTAATTAGCTTTTCTACGCCCTGAATAAAAAACAACCGCATCAGATTCACATGTGAGAAACACTCTATCTCAAACCTAGAGAACTCCTATGGTCCCATCCACAAAACAAAGGAGGAAGCACACTCAAAAAGCGAGAAAAATATTACCATAACGACTCCGTCTTTGCATTTGATTCCAATAACAGTCCTGAAAACGAATTCGAAAAACAGTTCACACAAAAATGAAATAGAAAATCCCTGCCACAGGTAAATCTATATAGTAATTAGGAAGAAAGTAAGAGAAGAATAGGAATACCCGCTGTTGTCGACGGCCTTAGCAGCATACTCGATCTGGAAAACGCGGCCATCGGGGGAGAATGTGGTGACGGAAAGATCATAACCAGTTCCAATGCTACTCATTGCTTGTGGTTCTTTGGAGTAATGGAGAGCGAGTTTCGATTGCTAATTTGAGGAGCAGGAAATGGAACAGAGCAGAGATTATGAAGAAGACGAAGAAGAGCTCTCCGCTTTTCTGCGCTTCAATTTCTTTCTTCTCAAGAAAATCTCTTGCTTTCGCCTTTTCCTTTCCTGGGAAGTGAAATACCAATTTAGCCCCTTTCTTTTCTTTTTTTTCTTTTTTAATAAAAAAATTAAATTAAATTACAAGTTTTGTGCCTATTTCTCAAAAAAAAAAAAAAAAAAAAAAAATTAATTATAGTTTATTGAGGTGTACATTCAACCCGATGATAGGACTAACTCAACCCGAACTATATGGGTTGGGTTTAGTTGGATTAGCGGTAGGGTTGGATTCATTTTTTTGAACACGAATTGAATCGATTTGATTTTAGGTTCGTGGGACAAAACACGGTCGACTCGACCTAAATAAAAATATATAAAATATATTAAGAATTCTTCCGTATTAATGAATTTGTGAATGGTATTAATGGGTTTACCAATTTTCTCTTTTATTTTTATCGTATACACTACCTTTAAACTAATCGTTTTTATTGTTTATTTAATTTCATGATATCCTTCCATTTTTTCTTATTTTAACTAATTTCGAAGAAATATTGTATTTAGATGTTTTTAGTTCGATGAAAATATTACTATTTTTTATTAATTTTTTTGTTTTAATAATTATAATTTAATTTGAGTTTATTTATAAACTTTTAATATATTTTTATGTAAGATGATATCCAAATAATTATAAATTGTGGATAAATAAAACTTTAAAAAAAAATTTACAATCCAACCCTCTATTTTCGGGTTGAATTCGGATTGGGTGGTAAAAAAAAAACCGTTCAACCCAATCAAATTCCGACTATGTACCCCCTTTAATAGTTTATGAGGAACTATCTTATTTAATATAATATATTTTAATATTTAATATATTAAAAATATATTTTTATTTAAAACATTTAAATAAATATATATTTAACTCATTTAAATATCATTCAAATTTTATAAATTTTAAATATATAGTTGATAATTCATATATTATATAATTATTATATTTGTATCAAATACAATTATTATATAAAATTCAAATTCTATATATATATATATATATTTAATATATCACATATTAATTTAAATATTTAAAAATTTTCATTTAACTAAATTTATTTTCCGGAGTCACTCAAATTCTTTGGATTTTAAATGTTATGATATCAATGGTTGTTGTGTCCTAATGCTCTGGTACCATTTGTTGTACCCAAATGTCACAACCAAAATGTCATAATATCAATTGTTGTAGCGGAATGTCACAACCAAAATGTTCTGATGCTTAATTATTATAGTGAAAGCAGATGGAAGCAAAATCGATCACACTTACACACTCACAAACTGAAATTAAACAAAGAGACACAAAGGTTTAAGTGGTTCGAAGAGAAGAAATTTTCTTACGTCTACGATACGTATATCTCTCACATTACAAAACCTCTAAACGAAAGTTCCTCCTAATTGCCTTTAGGCAAATACAAAATAATAATAACTTTACATGACTCCGCCATGACTTCATATGACTCTTTATGACTTCACACCTCAAGACAATGTTAGACAACCTTTTATATAGGCATAATAATACTATTCTCGAGTATGAACGGAATATTAATCAAAATGGTTATGAACTAAATGAGAATTGTGACCATTTGTGATCGTTTACGAGAAGATCAATTTATTACTAAATGTTTGTGATCATATTTTTACGAACAAATTACACTATTTGAAGAAACTGAACATACTAAAAAGATGAGAGTGAAGGAGGTGAGCTAAGAACAAAACTTTAGTACACAAGTTGAGGCTCAAATTCTGCAAAATCAACCGATCCAGACTCAATTGGAGGCATTAAATATGCAGCCAATATCTCAGATACCAATGCTGCAGCAAGCGGTATCCTCTTCAAGTTCTTAACCAAAGGAATCTCATTGCTTTCTCCTACAGCAATCAGCTTCTCATTGATCTCGACCATCCTGTCCAGTTTCCTCTTGAATTCGGGGTTCTCGACGTCCGGTACGGCCGGGAAGATTCTCGCCGTCGTTCGGTTAGTCTGCATTAGTAGAAGCAAAATGAATTGGCTGAATGTTTTGTCATTGAATAGTTCAGTTCATTGTAGTAAACTATCCCTTAGATGAACATGGGCTATGAATGAAATACATGTAGCTATCAAACTTACCTCAATGATAACATGCATGTCAAATTCTTTGGTGTTAAGGCCAATTCCTTCATAGAATGCTGTTCTTTGGCAATCATTGAGATACATTGTCACGTACACCTGCAAAAAAATATTTCATTGAGACGAACATTCAGGTCAAGTTCAGCCCACAAGATCCATACTTGATAACGATTTTACTTCCTAAAAACACCGTTAGGATCTCAGTCAACTGTTTTTTTGAAAAACTTTGACTATGATCACAAAAACATTTTCAAAATTGGACTATGAACCAACATAAATTGTGCGATCCCACGTTGATTTGGGAGGAGAACGAAGCATTCTTGCTAAGGGTTTTAAAAACTTTGAGGGGAAGCCCGAAAGGGAAAACCCAAAGAGAACAATATCTGCTAGCGATCGGCTTGAGCCGTTACAAATGGTATCAAAGCCAGATATCGGGCAATGTGCCAGCGAGAAGGCTGGGTCCTGGACATGAGGTGGTGTACCAGCAGGAACACTAGGCCTCGAAGGGAGCGGATTGAGATGTCCCATATCAATTGGAGAAGGGAACGAGTGTCAAAGAAGATGTTGGGCCCCGAAGCATTCTTTATAAAGGTGTCGAAACCTCTCCCTATCAGAGGTGTTTTAAAAATTTTGAGAGGAAGTGTGAAAGGAAAAATCCAAAGAGGACAATATCAACTAGTGGTAGGCTTGAACCGCTGTAGAAGTAAAGTACTAAGTAAAGTATTAGTAAGTAAAGCATGGTACACGAAAACAGATTACCAAAAACAAAAACCTTCATCTTTCCATTTTTTGTTGTTAAAAGTGTATAATTCTACTCAGATTTCAGTAGAGATTAACCGCCATTTACCGATAAACAGAAGAACCGAGACCACAGCTTAGCCTTCCAGTCATTGAGGAACTGAGGCTGTGCCTTGAGCAATGCAGAGAAGAAATCGCCGTGCCTGTTCTCGTCCTGGCACCAGTTCTCAAAGTACTTGAAAATGGGATAGCATTGGAACTCAGGGTTGGCCTTGAGATGTCTGTATATGGTTATGTATCTCCAGTATCCAATTTTCTCAGACAAGTATGTAGCATAGAAGATGAACTTGGGCTTGAAAAATGTGTATTTTCTAGCCTTTGTCAGGAATCCTAAGTCCAATGCCAAGTTGAAATCAGATAGACCTTTGTTCAAAAACCTGTAATTAATGGAACATGAGTATCAAAAATATAAGACACAAAAATTTCAAGACATTTTTGTTTGTTATTCTAAATCTCTAAAGCTTTCCATCAAAATCATTTGCATTCATAATCATCTTGATCTTTTGTTTTTAAAATTTAAGGTTATAAATAAATACATGTAGAGGTTCTTTGTGTTGATATCTATATTTTAGAGACTTTTTCAAACTTCAAGCGAAAACTTGTTTTTGTCTCAAGAATTCGGCAATGGATTCAAATATTTCCTAAGAACAGATGAAAATATTCAAAACAAGCACATTAGAATGTTTGAAGGACTAAAACTAAAGGTTCGAGAATAAATATGAAGATTCAAGTATCATATAACATTTAGTAGCGTCCTTTAACTGATAAAGAAAGCTCATGTAATGATTCTGAGGCTTGAAAATGAGTACATACCCAGCATGCCTGGCTTCATCCCTGGACATCAGAGAGAAAATCTCAGCCACCACTGGATTGGTTTTCTGGAACACATCAAAACAATTGGCAATGTGAGATAGAAAAAGATTGTTCTCCATCCATATTGCTCGAAGTAATTATAAGAGATAAAATGTGATTTCATAGTGAAAGATTAGTTCATGATTTGGAAGCTCAGAAGCCATTCAGCAGTGTAATAGAGCAATAGAACAGAGGAGAAATTATAGATTCAAATGACATACAGTACAGCTATAAACAAGATTTTCAAAAAATTATCCACAGTACTCACAATCAACTTCAAAATCACAGAAACAATTCATTCTGAAGTTCATAAGCAATACCTTAAGCCTCCTTCCCAGCTCCTTGTAGAGCAGAAATCCAGAGAACTCAGCAGTACAAGATCTCTCAAGAAACTCCACAAAGATCTGTCTGAGATCGCCTTCCATTTTATCAGCAGCTTCCTTGAACTCCTTGTTCCTCACAAAATGCGTCTGGTTATAATCAGTCTTAAACTCCTGAAGCAAAGCCTCGAACTCAGCTTGGTTCAAGTTCTTGTTGATTTCGGTATTGAAGAGAGTCTCCATCTCATCAAAGTCAGTGGTGTAGAACCTAGGCGTCAGTAGCGTCTCCTTAATCGCAGCCTTGTTGGCGTTCTTGGAGGGCTTGGGAGGCGATTGAGAGGAAGTTGCAGACATTTTAATGACGGTGAATCTGGAGTAAGAGAATGGAATAGCTCTCGTTCTAGGGCTTCCGAATTCGGGAGTTCTGCTGCAAAACTTCGACATTGGCTTCACGAGAGCCATCTCAGCAGCGGCAGCCATGGATGACGATGAAGCTTCTTCGGAGGGGCTGCAATGGCGGATGTGGGAAACACAGAGGAGTGAAAAGCAAAAGAGAAGCAAACATATATAAATATGAGGATAGTAATGTAATATAATTCATCCAATCAAATAGAAGATTTTTCTAAATCATATTGACACGTGGCATGTGATTATTGGTTTATCGGATTACTCGATGGGGTTGATAATGCCAAGTAAGCACATAAATTTGTGGTTATTATTATTTTTTCTTTTTTTTTGGAAGCGTGTGGTCATTGTTTCGTACACGTGTGATTCTAATTTACTGGGCCAAAGATTTGGGCCCATTTCTATTATCTAATCACCTTTAAATACACTTTTAATTCATTTAATAAAAACACTCGCAAAATTTGTAATTTATTCCCAAAATAAAAAAAATATTTAAAATGTTTTTACCGGAGGTAAACCGTTACTACTTTTTACCATCAATGAACGAATGAAAACTATCTATCAACATCTCATACAATACTCCGAACTTTTTACATCTCATAGATTACTTCAAACTTTTTAATATTACTCTCGAAAGTTCATCAATATTTTTTTAATATTTTTTTTTTAATTTTTTTTAAGTATAAAGATATTTTAAATTTTTTTTAACGTTTTGTTTCTTTCTCTTGTTTGAGTGAGCCGTGAACATAAAATATGGTATTCCATTATAAGGCGGTGCCCCAGATCCCTACAAGTAGAGGATGATCAAATCTGCTACACCCACACGTAGCCCTGATACTGAATCGACTTTAGACTAGCTTTACATTACAAAAATATCCCTCGAATAGTTCGAGTGAAGAACCCAGAACCCTAGGTTGGAAGTACATAGACTAACCCAACAAAATCTCGAAGATGTGAAAACTATTCACAAAATTTATTATTATTATTATTATTATTATTATTATTATTATTTAGTAATCGTCTTTGAATTTTGTAGTAAAAACACGAAACACTTGGACTAAAAAAATTGAGTCTCAAGATGAAATATCTGTATATTTTCAAGCACGAGTTTTTTAGGTAAAAAAAAATGATTGTGTCGGTTAGGTCAGGTTGAGACGTTTTTTAAACTAACCCAGTTATTTGAATTATAAAATTTTCAACCCAAACAACTTTCATTAAATAATGAACTCAAGCCAACCCAACCATAAATTTTTTTGGGTTGGATTGGTTCGGGTTGGTTGGGTCATTTTTTCAATTTTTATTTTTAATAAAAATAAAATATTTGTTTGCAAAACATCTATTTACTTTACACATTTAATTATAATTTGTAACTCAATTTTAATATGTATTTCATTCGGAATAGTTAAAAATTATTTTAAAGTATTTTAGGAGAATAAAATTAAAAAGAAAAAAAAAACTATGAAACAATAAATAAAAATAAAATAAATATATGTATATATAATTGTATAGTAGGCAAAAATGTATATTTTAAAATAAATTCGAGTTAGTTCAATTCAACCTAATATAGTCGTACTATGAGAACTTATAAACCAAACTAATCTATAAAGTTTTTCATTTATTTGAACTCAATCTAACCTAAATAAATTCATAACCGAACTAAACGGTTGGATTGAGTTGATCGTATTTTTCGAACGCCCCTACCTATTTTGTGAGATCCTCATATCGATTGGAGGGAGGAACGAGTGCGGATGAAGACGCTGGGTCCTAAAGGGGATGAATTTTCGGAGCGTGGATATGAAGCAGTGGCCAGCGAGGACATTGGGCCCTAAAGGGGGGTGGACTATGATATCCCACATTAGCCGGAGAAGAAAGCGAAACATTTTTTATAAGGGTGTGGAAACCTCTCCCTAGCAAACACATTTTAAAACCTTGAGAAGAAGCCCGAAATGGAAAGCCCAAAGAGGACAATATCTACTAGCGGTGGGCTTGGGTTGTTATAGCTGGTATCGGAGCATTAGGTATAGATTTTATCGACTAGCCTACGAGGTAGGCTTGACATGTTCCATGGTCCCACCACTGATGGCCCGTCACGTATGCCTTACGAAAGATAATAAATAATGTTGTTTTGTTATGTTATGATTTACCTTGCATGGAATGTGAATGTTAATTGATGTATTGATGATATTTAGATTTAGCAATATTTGTACTGTGAATGAGGAGTTGTAGTTATGGAAAGGAATGTACCAACATATACCGATGAATAAGTAGTTTAAAATGACCTAGGTACCTGTTGATGTCAATGAAGCGCCTAGGCCAACCAAGTAAGTTGTCTTACTATCGACTCGGTTGGAAGACTTACCTTATGTATGACAACACGTGCTTAGTGGCCATTGCACATATCATTTATGCTTTATTGTTATATGATGACATAATCATATTATATGATGATGTGATGATGTTATATGATGATGTGGTGATGTGGTGACGTTATATGATGATGTGATTATGTTATATGATGATGACATGATGATGATGATGATGATGATGATAATGATGTTATATGATGATGTGGTGATGTGGTGACGTTATATGATGATGTGATTATGTTATATGATGATGACATGATGATGATGATGATGATGATGATAATGATGCATGATAACATGATGATGCAAAATGTATGATGATGAGATGACTTAATATGATGATATTCCGAGAGGAAAGAGGTTAGGCCTGGGAGCTCGAGATTGCAAGAAAGTGAGTTTCATCAAATTGAGCATAGCAGGTGATATATAACTTAGTGGTGACGAGATCAAGACAGCGGAACCCTTTATGAAAAGGACTATAACTCAAAAAATTACAAGGAATGCTACGGGGAGAAAGCTTGTTAGGCATATAATCATGCGAGTAAAGATAAACACGACAACCAAAGAGATGAAAATTGTCGTACGGCTCAAAGTAGCCATAGGAAAATGTTTGTTGAAATCACCACACTAAATGGTGGTTAAAGTTCTCTCTTTATAATCATTTACATAATAGAGAAATACATAAATTACAAATAATATGTAAAGAACATTTAAAGGAATAAATAATAAATGAATACAATATATTGGCAAATATGGTAAACGAAGTAAGAGATATTTGCCTTATAATAAACGGTCAACTATCCTTAACACCCTCCCGCAAGCTGAGCGTCGAATTTGAACAAATGTGAAGCTTGGATCTGAAAAATTCGAAGAGAGGTCGAGAAATACTTTTTGTGAAAATATCAGCAACTTGGAGATGGGAAAGTACATATTGTGTGCGAAGTTTGGCAGCGATGACAAGTTCTCAAAGGAAATGATAATTTAGTTCAACATGTTTGGCCCGCTTGTGAGAAACGAGATTAGAGCTCAAAACAATAGCACTTTTGTTGTCACATAAGAGTAAGGGCTGCTGTAAAATAGGGATCTTGAGGTCATGCAAAAGATGTGTAACCCAAAGAAGTTCAGCAGCAATCATGACAAGAGCATGATACTCAGATTCACAACTGAAGCATGAGACAATAGGTTGCTTTTTGGCACTCCAAGAAACGAGATTGTTACCAAGATAAATAGAATAGCCGGATGTAGAACAACGAGTATCGGGACAACTAGCCTAGTCAGCATCCGAATAAGCGACTAGCGTACTAGGAACAGTGGATGGACGAAAGGTAAGACCAAAGTGTAGTGTTCCTTTGACATAGTGAAGAATACGTTTGACAGCAAGAAAGTGATCTGCAGTAGGGGCATGCAAGAATTGATTGACAGAATTGACAGGATAGGCAATATCTGGATGCGTAATAGTCAAGTACTGAAGGGTGCCAACAAGAGATCTATAGAGAGTAGGATCAGAGAAAGGAGAACCATCAGCAGTCAGGTGTTGAGAAACAACCATGGGAGTGTGAACTGGTTTGCTATCGAGCAACTGAGCACGAGTAATAATATCTCGAGCATATTTTAACTGACTAATAAAGAGACTATCAGGAGTGAGTGAAGCTTCAAGACCAAAAAAGTAACTGAGAAAACCCAATTCTTTGGTAGCAAACTCATAATGAAGCTTGCGAGTAAAGCTGTCAATAAGAGATGAGTTGATGCCGGTAACAATAATGTTATCAACATAAAGAAGCAAATAGATAAGGTTAGATTGCTGATGAAAGACAAAAAGGGACGTGTCAACGCGACTGCAAGAAAAACCAAGTGTGAGAAGAAATGAGCTAAAACGCTGAAACCAGGCGTGAAGAGCTTACTTTAAGCCATAAAGGGCTTTCTTTAATAGACAAACATGAAAGGGAAATCGAGGATCAATATACCCAGGAGGTTGTTCCATATGAACACGTTCAATAAGAGTTCCATTGAGAAAAGCATTATTGACATCAAGTTGTCAAAGAGGCCATTTATTTGTGACTGCAATAGAAAGCACAACACGGACAATAGTAGCTTTGACAACCGGACTGAAAGTCTAGTGTAGTCAAGACTAGGAACCTAAGTATAACCTTTAGCAACAAGACGAGCCTTGAAACGCTCGACGGATCCATCATGCAAATATTTATTACGAAACCCCATTTAGAGCCCATGATATTGGTGTTGGCAGGGCGAGGAACTAAAGTCCAAGTATCATTTTGTCATAAAGCTCGAATTTCTTCATCCACGGCAGCAACTCAAGCAAGATTCTTTGCCGCAGATTTGAATCCCTTTGGCTCAGTGGATGCAAGAAGAGTAGAAAGAAGTCCAGATGAGCCCAATATACCAAGATTCGCTGGATGACGAGTCTTAAATATTCCAATTTTGGCTCGTGTGATCATAGGATGAGAGCCCAAATAAGAGGAATCAACCGTAGATTCAATAGAGGTCGGAACAAAAGTCGAGGGTGGTAAAGCGGAACCTGCATGAGAAGTATCAACCTGCACAGACTCATTCATGAGGTCAGAACAAATATCACACGGGGATGAATTAGATCGAGGAATGTGCAATGATGAAGTGGTAAGGGGGGTAAATTAATATGATAAAGATGTGGTTCCAAGAAATTTGAAATATGAAGAGAGGAAAGAGGTTGGGTCTGGGAGCTAGGGATAGCAGGAAAGCGAGTTTTATCAAATTGAGCATGGCGGGTGATATATAGCTTAGTGGTGGAAGGATCAAGACAACAGAACCCTTTTTGAGCAGGACTATAACCCAAAAAAATACAAGGAATGTTGCGGGGAGAAAGCTTGTTAGGCCTATAATCACGCAAGTAAGGATAAACACGACAACCAAAGGGATGAAAATTGTCATAATGTAGAGAGTAGCCATGAAGGAGTTCAAAGGGTGACTTACCTCTAAGAAGTGAATAGGCAACCAGTTGATAATATAAGCTGCCGTGCTAAAGGCGTCAACCCAAAAACGAGGAGAAAGATGAGAGTGAAAGAGAAGGGTCAAGCCAGTCTCAGTCACATGACGAAGTTTTCTCTTAGCACGACCATTTTGAGCAGGTGTATATAGACAAGAGAGTTGATGGTGGATGCAGAAGTACGTAAATGAGTTTTGAAACAAGTGCTCGTAAAGTCAGTACCTCCATCGCTTTGAAATACCTTGATACGAGAAGAATATTGATTTTCCACAAATTTTTGAAATTGAAGAAAAATATAAAGAAATCAGATTTAAATTTTAAAGGGTAAAGCCAAAGTGAATCGAGAATCATCAATAAAAATAACATAGTAAAGAAAACCTGAATTTGATTTGACGGGGGAAGGACCCCAAAGATCACAATGAATAAGATCTAACACATGAGACGACCTACGTTCATTGTGGGAATAAGGCAATCGATGACTTTTCGCAAGCTGACAAGTACTACATAGTGATGGAGAAGGCAATAAAGACGCAAGAGAAAGATGACCTTTTCTATTTAAAAAAGAAATAACGGAATGATTCACATGACCCAGGCGGGTTTCTAAGGAGTGAAATAAAAGCAGAGTTGCAGCGCTCCAGCACATATAGCCCTTCATCTCTTTTACCGGTTGCCACCACCCTTCCTGTTTGACGATTCTGAATAGTAAGAAGATTATTAGTAAATGTAACGAAGAGAAAAAAATCATACGTTAATTTACTAATTGAAAGAAGATTTTTAATGAGATGAGGGACAACCAAGACATCTAATAAGTGAATATTTGGAACAGGAGAAAGAGTACTGATGTGGGTACTGGGTAAGGATGTACCGTTTTCTACGATCATAGAGTCCTTACCTGTGTAATTTTTAGACTGGTTCAAAATAGATGGGTCGGCGGTCATATGGGCCGAAGCCCCATTGTCCAGAAACCAATCAGCAACATTGGGTCTAGCAATAAAACAGGACGTGTTGAAGGCTTCAATAAGGTGACATGAGCAGAATCAGGTCGAACATATCGTTGGTGGCAGCGGTCAACATAATGGCCCTCTTTGTAGTAGACCCTGACTTGAGTGGGTTCGTCCTCGATTGAAAGAGTTGTTTTTGTGGGAATCAAAATGGCCTCGCTGGTGGTTGCTAGAGGAAGCAGGGTGGCTTCCATGGATGCGACCACGATTAGTGGCTATGAATGCTGTAGGAGTAGAGTCAGAGGACTCAAGGGAGAGTTGAAACAACTTGATATGAACCAAGAGACATCAATCATACAATATGCTTCAATGAAGATGTGAAGAAAATATTGTTGAAATTATCAAAAGATATTTCAATTCATGCCACGTTGAAGAAAAATGAAGTTTCATGTTTTAAATTTTGGGTGGATTACAATTTAGAGTTATTGTATTTCATTAATGTAGTTTAAGACTTTTAATTTACTTTAGGTTACAATTACATAATGGTTATAATTATGGTCATTAAGTATGAATGTTACCACTCTTGGAATGCCTTAGTAGTTTCATTTTGAGGCTATATAAAGCCATGTATGTTGTATTTGCAAGAGACTTGGAAAATATAGTAAAAGGAGCATTTGGGCTTTTCTTTAGCAAATGGCTAAGTTTGTTTGCAATTCTATTGTAGTTTAGGTTGCATGTAGAATCATTCAAGCTAGACATGATCAATCTTGCTTGTGGAAAGATTCGAATCTCAAAAAAGTGTTTGAGATATTTGATCAACAAAAATCATTCAAGCTAGACATGATTGATCTTGCTTGTGGAGTGATTCGAATCTCAATCAAGTGTTTTTGCCTTAATCTGAATCTTACTCCCCTTGTAGTGATTCCTTACCTTATCACAACTTAAAACTTTCAGCTTTAGAGACTAAATCTGCAAAAGTGGGGATATGGGTGAGAGCCATCGTAGAAAAAGCTGAAAAATCAGTACCGAGTCCACGAATGAACCAGTGCAATTTATCAATGTCCTCGACAGGTCTGCCAATGACATGAAGTTGGTCACAAATTGTTTTGAAGGCACGAGCATACTCAGCAACAGGTTTGGTGCCACGTTTCATCAGCTGCAAGTCATCCTCGAGTCTCAGTTCACGAGCTTCCAAATGATGGCTGAACGTAGTTTCCAACGCAAGTAAAACATCACGTGCAGTGGAGAGACCAACGATGACAGCAATGGCTTCCTCAGTGAGAAAGGAGAGCAAGGGACAGAGAAGTCGTTGATCGACTGCTCTCCACACCAAATATTTGGGGTTGAGTGTTGAGGAGATTTCTGGTTCAAAACGAGGTGGTGGAACCATAGTTTCATCGACATAACCCAACATGCCTTTACTCTCAAGGAGAGGGAGAAGTTGGCTTTTTCAAAGAAGATAATTGGAAGAAGAAAGTTTGATGGTGATCATATGGGTAAGAGTGTTGAAAGAAAGAAGATGATAAGAGGATTCGAAAGCCACAGAGAAAAAGGATCAGAATTGTTAAACCGAAAGGGCTATAATACCATGAAAAATGTTTGCTGAAACTACAGCACCTAAATGGTGGTGAAAGTTCTCTATTTGTAATCATTTACAGAATAGAGAAATACGACAAATTACAAATAATATAGAAAGAATAATAAATGAATAGTCAACTATCCTTAAGACTCCGCATGACACTCACTCAGGAATTCGTTGAACTCCAGACGGCTATAGAAAACTAGCCCGATTATGATGAGTTCAGGGGGGGTGCAAACTGCTTAAGGACTCACGAGGCATGACACTTGAGAATTTGCTAGCCTCTAGACGTTCGGCTATAGACAACTAGCCCGACTATGATGGGTTCGGGGGAGTGGGGGGAGGGGGTGTGCAAACTGCATAGGAACTCACGCTTGCACGTGTAAGTCGTGTATAAGAAAGTACTACATATCCAATTTAGTATAGGACGTTTTTACTTTATGTAAGTCGATAATGAAGTCTCAAATGTTTATTTCCATGAGAAAGTGAGACCAAAGATATAATTTGTTGAAACATTAACTATTTGTAAACAAGATTTAGGTGAACATAAAAATGGAGAGGAAAATGGAGTTTGATTCTACACAATACTTACAATCATTTCCTCATGAAGTACACTCCCAAATCCCTTTTTAGAGTTGATCCCTATTGAAAACAAGATGACATCAATGCTCAATCCCGTCTCCGCTGATGCCAGTGGATACGCTATCCTACTGAATATTTAGACTCGGCACGCCCTGAACAAATATGATCTTGCTTCATCGACCTGATAATCGTGACACGTCCAACTTTACAGCAAAAGCAAGAAGCAATACCTTTTTATCTTCAGGAATCTTGCTGGTGATGATGAGATCGAATTAACCGCTATTGAGTTCTCATATCGTTCATTTCGATTAACGTCGAATTTTGTACGTCCCGTCCTTCTTCCAAAGAAGGAGGGAACGCGTATGCATTGTTTTGGTCTACAACGTCCTTTTTCTTCAAATCATCATCGATTTCGGCGTAATCCAAATTTTGCAACATACTAGGAAGTTTCATGCTAGCATCCTTGTGAAACATCATGTCCATTTCTAAGTCAAATTTATCCTTCGAGACGATGAAGCCTCGACCCGTTGAGGAAGCACTGTATTGTAAGCTCACATCGTCGCCTTCTGCTACCCATGCTCGGAAATCGATCAATGAAGGAGGGATCTTAGTCCAGAAAACATCCTTCAGATTTTCCACTAGCCCTTTGGTAAAAGGGTTGATCTTCTTATCGTAGCGATATCGAAAATTTTCGTACGTCGTCTGCAAAAGATTAACGGTCGAGAAATCAGTCAACACCCAAGCTTGCTTTCATCGTCACATATTCAAATGCGAGAAAACAGTAAAAATATAAAGGCTCTACCTGATTGGTACACATCAGATAAATATGGAAAACCGTTAGCCCCCCGACGAACCAGACAGATACGAAGCAGTATACGACAAGGACAACGGACAAGATATCGTTCGAAATGACAGTCCACATGCTCCCACTTTGTCGAACAATGGTAATACACGAAAGTGTAAAGACGTATATACACAAAGTGGTAGATGTCGATATAAACATTATGAAAAATCGATAATTTCGCTGCATCGAAATGAAAATAAAGCAATGGTTAATTCAACACCAGAATCAGAGATATTACAGAATCATATCAGAATCATATCCGAATCAACAGCCAAATAATCGAGTTTCAATCAACATTTCTTGAACAAAACAGTTCTTTTTATCAGAAAAGGGTCGATAACGTACCAGCCCAATACACTGACCTACCCAAGGACAGTGGTGATCGAACTTCTGAACACAATTGTTGCAAATAGAGCAATGAGACGCCCGAGGAGGACGGTACAGAAGGCAAGTATCACAAAACTTCACTTTCACCGAGTATCCGTTGATCGTTATATCCTTGATTCGGGGTATTTTCAGATTAGGCTTCTTGTGATTGACCCATTCCATAGAAGGGGTGGTCATGTCTGCTTCATCTGAGTCAGGTGGTATCGAGTTTCTCGGAATGATCCCCGGATCTCTACCAGAAGTCAAGAACAGAAAAATGAAATCCTGCACAAACAAACTTATTGATCAGGTTTGGTTCATCAGTTGTTGCAAAAGCTTAAACTACACAAGGAGAATTCAGCCTTTCACACACCAAAGATGTAAGAACCAATCCTCCAATCAGTGCAGGGAAATGAAACGTTCGACGATCGTTATGGACTGCTACTAGCATTCTTATGCAGAATATTATTGCAGGACCACCGATTAAAAATGATGTTAAAAAGAGAGACGCTCCGTCTTGCCCGAAAACTAATCTCCCACCACATAAGAATTTCTAGCAGACAAAGAACATGATGCATCAGTACATGAAGAATCCATTCTATTACATTCACCATCATAGCTTCTTCCAATAACATTGAAAACTACCAAAAATTAAAGAAATTTATAACAAACTATGCCAGGATATATCATGATTATCAAGGGAAATTCCTTAATGAATACACTAATTGTAACAGTCCAAGCCCACGCTAGCAGATATTGTCCTCTTATCCCTCTCGGGTTTCCCCTCAAGATTTTTAAAACGCGTCTCCTAGGGAGAGGTCTCGACATCCTTATAAACGGTGTTTCGTTCTCCTCCTCAACAGATGTGGGATCTCACACTAACACAAAATTCAGGTTCAAACTATGCCGGGATATATCATGATTATCAAGGGAAATTCCTTAATGAATACACTAATTGTAACGGTCCAAGCCCACGCTAGCAGATATTATCCTCTTGTCCCTCTCGGGCTTCCCCTCAAGGTTTTTAAAACGCATCTCCTAGGGAGAGGTCTCGACATCCTTATAAACGGTGTTTCGTTCTCCTCTTCAACCGATGTGGGATCTCACACTAACACACAATTAAGGTTCAAACATTTGAATCCATAGAATTGTGGATATCTCATGATGACCAAGGGAGACCCTTAGATTCAAAAACTAAAAATGATCAAATAGCTTGTAAAAGAATTAAGAAGAAACAGGGCAGAGAGAATGAATGCATCTATGAACCACAGCCAATCTAATTACAGTGAACAATTCATTAAAGATAGTTGAATCTCATGAATTGATAATATATCAAGAACATCGAGGAAATCATGATCTACAAAAACACAATTATAATAACAAATTAAGGAACAATTCTACTGAATCTATTTATTAATCTCACCCAGAATCAGGTAGCTAAGTAAAAGTAAACAGATAATCTAGAATATGTCGTGATTATCAAGGGAGATCTCATCGTGATAACAGATAATTTAGATATAATATGAGAATAATTCAAACATTTGAATTAAAAGAGTAGAGAAATTTACATTGTTTCCTTTCCAGACATGGTAGAGCCTCCTTTGAGCTGGTTTATGAGGAGCAATATGAATGGCATTAGAGGGAGAGCCATCCCAGCTCGGTTCTGTGTTCATTTTTCTAATGGAAATTTCGTTTGTCTGAGGGGAAAACACAAAATCTTAGGGTGTTCGTGGTAATGATTCACACGGACACCCAAAATAAATCAAACAAACAAACAAACAAACAAAAAATTTCCAAATGCTTTCAATTTTCCTCTTCAAATCTGTGAAAGAACGATGTGGGTTTTCAATTTCCAAACGGCGATAGTTCAGAATGAATCAAACCCAGAAAATTGCGAAACCCAGATCGTTCTAACAAAAAAAAAAAAAAAGAAAAAAAAGAAAAAAAGAGGAAAAATCAAAAACACAAAAACACAAAAACACAAAAACAAAATTCCCCCTCTCGAATCCTCTCTCCCTAGCTCTGTTTTTTTTTTTTTTTTTTT